TGGCATGCAGGATCTAGCTACCTGAACAGGGATTGAACCTGGGCCTCCTGCATTGGGAGCGGAGAGTCTTAACCACTGGCCCACCAGGGAAGTCCCTCCCTGGATTTTCTTTTAAAAGAAATGTTCTGTTTGCTTTGTGGGGGACAATGAAGGAAACAGGAGACCGATGAGCAGGCTTTTGCAATAATCCAGGAGAAAAAGGTGGTAATGATGGAAATACAGAGAAATGGTCAGATTTTGAGTCTATTTTAATCAGAGATTATAATGGAGAAAACTCTAATTCAAAAAGATACATGCATCCCAGTGTTCACAGCAGCACTATTTATAATAGCCAAAACATGGAAGCAACCTAAATGCCCACCAACAGATGAATGGATAAAGATGTGGTACATATATACAATGGAATATTATAAAAAAGAATGAAATAATGCCATTTGCAGCAACATGGATGGACCTAGAGATTATCATACTTAGTGAAGTCAGAGAAATGTAAATATAATATGATGTCACATATGTGGAAGCTAGAAAATAATACAAATGAATCTATTTACAAAACAAACAGACTCACAGACATAGAAAACAAACTTATGGTTACCAAAGGGGAAAGTGAGGGGGGGTGGATAAATTAGAAGTTTGGGATTGGCAGATGCAGGCTACTGCATATTCCTCGGAGACGGGTAGCATGGGGATCAGATAGAACAATGCAGATTCATCCATAATCCCTTTCTGCTGTTCACCACAACCCATGATCCATCTGTGTAATTTTGGAACAGTCAGTGATTCCAGGTTTTAAATAGTTTGTAAATTTTCAGTTTCTACACACTTTATCATCCACTCATGATTTTTTAATTAAAGTGTTTTAATTCCTTTCTCTGTTCAGCTGTTAGTGATGAGATCCATATAGTTTTTTTTACATCTTTATTGGAGTATAATTGCTTTACAATGGTGTGTTAGTTTCTACTTTATAACAAAGTGAATCAGTTATACATATGTTCCCATATCTCTTCCCTCTTGTGTCTCCCTCCCTCCCACCCTCCCTATCTCACCCCTCTAGGTGGTCAAAAAGCACCGAGCTGATCTCCCTGTGCTATGCGGCTGCTTCCCACTAGCTATTTTATGTTTGGTAGTGTATATATGTCCATGCCACTCTCTCACTTCGTCCCAGCTTACCCTTCCCACTCCCCATGTCCTCAAGTCCATTCTCTAGTAGGTCTGCATCTTTATTCCCGTCTTGCCCCTAGGTTCTTCATGACCATTTTTTTTAAAGATACCATATATATGTGTTAGCATATGCTATTTGTTATTCTCTTTCTGACTTTTCACTCTGTATAACAGTCTCTAGGTCCATCCACCCCACTACAAAGAAACCAGTTTCGTTCCTTTTTATGGGTGAATAATATTCCATTGTATATATGTGCCACATCTTCTTTATCCATTCATCTGTTGATGGACGCTTAGGTTGCTTCCATCTCCAGGCTATTGTAAATAGAGCTGCAATGAACATTGTGGTACATGACTCTTTTTGAATTATGGTTTTCTCAGGGTATATGCCCAGTAGTGGGATTGCTGGGTCATATGGTAGTTCTATTTGTAGTTTTTTAAGGAACCTCCATACTGTTCTCCACAGTGGCTGTATCAATTTACATTCCCACAAACAGTGCAAGAGGGTTCCCTTTTCTCCACACCCTCTCCAGCATTTATTGTTTGTAGATTTTTTGATGATGGCCATTCTGACTGGTGTGAGATGATATCTCATTGTAGTTTTGATTGGCATTTCTCTAATGATTAATGATGTTGAGCATTCCTTCATGTGTCTGTTGGCAATCTGTATATCTTCTTTGGAGAAATGTCTATTTAGGTCTTCTGCCCATTTTTGGATTGGGCTGTTTTGTTTTTTTTTTTGTTATTGAGCTGCATGAGCTGCTTGTAAATTTTGGAGATTAATCCTTTGTCAGTTGCTTCATTTGCAAATATTTTCTCCCATTCTGAGGGTTGCCTTTTGGTCTTGTTTATGGTTTCCTTTACTGTGCAAAAGCTTTGAAGTTTCATTAGGTCCCATTTGTTTATTTCTGTTTTTATTTCCATTTCTCTAGGAGGTGGGTCAAAAAGGATCTTGCTGTGATTTATGTCATAGAGTGTTCTGCCTATGTTTTCCTCTAAGAGTTTTACTGTGTCTGGCCTTACATTTAGGTCTTTAATCCATTTTAAGTTTATTTTTGTGTATGGCGTTAGGGACTGTTCTAATTTCATTGTTTTACATGTAGCTGTCCAGTTTTCCCAGCACCACTTATTGAAGAGGCTGTCCTTTCTCCACTGTACATTCCTGCCTCCTTTATCAAAGATAAGGTGACCATATGTACGTGGGTTTATCTCTGGGCTTTCTATCCTGTTCCATTGATCTGTATTTCTGTTTTTGTGCCAGTACCATACTGTCCTGATGACTGTAGCTTTGTACTATAGTCTGAAGTCAGGGAGCCTGATTCCTCCAGCTTCGTTTTTCTTTCTCAAGATTGCTTTTGCTATTCGGGGTCTTTTGTGTTTCCATACAAATTGTGAAATTTTTTGTTGTAGTTCTGTGAAAAATGCCAGTGGTAGTTCGATAGGGATTGCATTGAATCTGTAGATTGCTTTGGGTAGTACAGCCATTTTCACAATGTTGATTCTTCCAAACCAAGAACGTGGTATATCTCTCCATCTATTTGTATCCTCTTTAATTTCTTTCATCAGTGTCTTATAATTTTCTGCATACAGGTCTTTTGTCTCCTTAGGTTTATTCCTAGGTATTTTATTCTTTTTGTTGCCATATATAGTTTTATAAGCTTCTCCCTGTTTGTTTTTGGCTCATGAAATTTTTTGTTTGTCATGGAATGTAAGAGTGGAATATTAATACATTTCAGTTTCGTTCTGTGATGTAAGGAATTTTTCAAAAATATTAAAAGATGGACTGGAGCTTTTTCTTTGTGAATATAAAGTTGATGCCACAGTGAAAAACAATTTAAAAAAAACAATGAATAAATAAATAAAATAGAAATTATGAGATTTGCTCATAGAAACTATCTGGGGTGAAAAGGAAAGAAGGGAGTCGGGTCAATGCAATTGCTAAGAATTTCATGTTTAACACTCTCTCTCTCACACTCTCAGTTTCTTTTTCTTCAATAGAGTCATCTTTTATGTCCCTCCAAGCACTCAGCACCCTAACACTAGTTTTTAGTTGCCTAAAGTACTTACCATGCCCCCTAGTCCTACAAGTGCAGCCTCCAATCCAACTCTACCATTTTTACTGTTGAGTTTTTCCTATAAAACTCCTCTGCAGCCCCCGCTTCCTGCCTGTTCCCTGTTCAGTGCTCACGCTGCCATCTCATTCAAAACCCCTAAGCCCTGAGACTTTTTCATTTATGTGTTAAGCAGGAAATATCTGATGTAATTAATTTATATTGAGATAGAAATGACTAATAGCCTAAATTAAAATAATTTTCTTCTCAGGGAAGTTATTTTAAAGAGCTTAGAAATCACTCAAATGATTCCTTTTTTTTCTGCGGATAGTCTTAAGTGGTGACGGTTCTATGATTACCTTCAAATTACACTTAGTTGATGGTTGCCCACCACCCACGCAGGTCTTATGCTGACTTTCTCAGGGCTCAGCCTTTATAAAAAAGGAAGGTACAAAGAACTGAATCATTATCTTTAAAGAGCAACTCCATCACAGCTTGCTTATCATTGTTAATAAATGAAGAAAAGAGGTGAAAATGTGAAAAAGCTCGTAAGAAATGCTGAGATTTTGTCCCTGTTTGAAGCTAGCAATTTTGAAGTCCTCTGACAGCAGCCTGTCTTGGTATAGGTGCCCAGGGAAAGGCTCAGCATTTAACCTGCTATATCATCTGAGTTGGGGTGATATTAGGGTCTCCCTTCATTTTGTCACCTTGAATTATCCATTGACATGGCTGCTGTTTACTTTCTGTTATTCTCTTTTTGTAGAGTAAGTGTCTTGATGGGGGTGGAGTGGGGAAGAATCTGGATATCCTCACTTCAAATTTGGCTCAGCCATATATATATAGATATATATATATAGAGAGAGAGAGAGCGAGAGAGATAGTTATTTAAGGCAAAAAAGATCATAATAAAACTAAAAACAATCCTATTACTTGCTGTCTCTTTTCATTAGGGAAAATATGAACAAATAAAATCTTATAGGTTTTGTAACTGGATTCAGGTATCCACTGAGTAACTAGACATAAAAGAGCTAGAGGCAGTTTCATCCACTTCAATTCTGTCATAGCAATAAAAGCATATATTCTTAGAACCACACATCATCTCAACTGGAGGGTAGTTATTAGAAGAAAAGTGCTATGTCAGATTGCTGGTTGCCAATTTAATATCCACTCTGACTCTCTCTCTTAGGTGCAAATCCCCAAATTTATTTGGGGAAATAATAGAGCTAGCCAGAAAATTATATTTCCTCGCCTATTATGCTTCTAGGTTTGGCCAAGTGACTAAAACCTGTGACTAAAACAAGTGACTAAAACCAATGAAAAATAGATGGAGTTGCTGGGAGGAAATTTTAGAAAAGCTCCTACAAAGGGAAACAGACAGCTTGTAAATACTCCTTTTGTGTTTTCCACTTTGTGCTTTTCAACCTTGAATTTGATGAAATTACTAGAGCCCTAGCAGCCATCGTTGATCACAAGGCAACCTTGAGGATAGAAACCATTTGCTAAGGATATCATAGCAAAAGAGAGGCGGACACTATATCCCTGATGATTATGGGTCCTCTATGCCAGTGCTGCATTAACTATTTTTAGACTTCTTTTATGAAGCAGAAAGATAAACTTGTAGATCTTTTAAGTCACTATTATTAAAAGTCACTGTTACGAGCAGCCGCATGTAATTCCTAAATGATACAATGATTTACAGCATACTAACTTGTCTTTGGAAGCCAAGAAGATTTTGGCAAACCATAATAAACTAACTAAAATGTATATTTTTTCTGCTTCCTTCCTCAGCTACTCCTGCCATTGCCTAATGAACTCATGAACAAAGTGGCCATGGCGGCAGAGATGGAGGTTATGCGTGGGCTCAGCAACATGGACTTACACTCACCCAGGCTGACCTCAGCCCCTGCTGAGTGCCCCATCTGTCAGCACCAGAAACTACTGAGTCTCTGATAGGCACCATCCCCAGGGTCATCAGCCAGCTGTCTGGTGTCAGGCTGATTATATTGGACTGCTTTCATCACGGAAGGGGCAGTGTTTTATTCTTAATGGAATAGACACTTACTTTGGGTATGGATTTTTCTTCTCTGCACAAAATGCTTCTAGCAAAACTATCATCCAGAGGCTTACAGGATCCCTTATCCACCATCACGGTTTTGTACGCAGCCTTGCTTCTGACCAAGGAACTCACTTCATTGCAAATAAAGTGTGGCAATGGGCCCATGCCCGGAATTCACCGGTCTAACCATGTTCTTCATCATCCTGAAGCAACTGGTTTGCCAGAACGGTAGAATGGCCTTTTGAAGATGCAATTATAGCATCAGCTAAGTGGGAATTCAGCCGGCCTTCCATATCCATTGGTTCAACATTCATGGATTCAATGAGCTGTGGATACAAGATATTCAAAACAAATTCCCAAAAGTTCCAAAAAGCAAAACTTGAATTTTCCATGCCAGAAACTATTTACATAACATTTGGATTGTATTTACAACTATTTTCATAGTATTTACATTGTAGTAGGTATTATAAGTAATTTAGAGATGATTTAAAATATACAAGAGGATTTGTGTAGGTTACATTCAAATACTATGCCATTATATATAAGGGACTTGAGCATCTGTGGATTTTGATATCTGCAGGGGTCATGGAACCAATCCTCTGCAGATACCAAGGGACAAGTGTAACTTGCAGGACTAAGCAAAGCCCTCCAGGAGGCTGTATGTGCTCTAAGTCAGCATTCAATATATGGTGCTGGTTCTCCCTTAGCCAATATTCATAAACCCAGGAATGGAAATGGGAATGGCTCCTCTCACTATTACCTCTGGTGATACACTAGCAAAGTGTTTGCTTTGCATCCCTGTGACTTAAGGCTCTGTTGGTCTAGAGGCCCTAGTTCCAAATAGAGGAATGCTTTCACCAGGGAACCCAACAACGATTCCTCAGAATTGGAAGTTGAGACTGTTGCCTGGCCACTCTGGGTGCCTCCTGCCACTGAATAAGCAGGCAGGCAACGGGGGTGGTTTACTCTGGCTGGGGTGATTAGTCCTGATCACCAAGGGGAAATTGGGTTGCTACTACCACACAATGTGGGTAAGGAGGAGAGTGTCTGGAATACAGCAGATCCTCTAAAGTACCTCTTGGTGCTCCCACATCCTATGATTAAAGTTAGTGGAAAACTACAACAGCTTAATTCAGACAGGGCTCTAATAGCCCAGACCCTTTAGGAATGAAGTTTTGGGTCACTCCATCAGGTAAAGAACCAAAGGAAATGAGGTGCTTGTTGAGGACAAAGGAAATAGTTTTAACTATCCACTATGACCACATGACCATTGCAGAAATGAGGACTATATGACTTATGAGTATTTCTTCCTTATTTTAATATTTTTATTCAATAGTTTAATTATATATATAATGTAATAATACTTTCATTTCTTTTCCTCTGACACCCCCTTATCATCTAACATAAGACCTGTTAATGATTGTTAACTTTATATCATATTTGAGTTACATGACACAAAACAGGAAGTATGTATCAACAGGGGGAAGAATGAAAATCAACCAAAGACACTAAAGAAACTCCGTCCTCTCCTGGGAAAAGGAGTAGCACGTTTTCAGTTTTATGTAGCATAGTCTTTATTCGGCAATTAAGTATGGTTCAAGGAGATGTACTTGAGTTCAAAGTCAACAAGAATGGACTGTGGTAGCTTTGTAGTGTGTCAGTTAGGCTAAGTTCAACTACATTTCCCAGAATCCATTCTCTTGTTTCTGGTCAGGTTGGGCCACAAGTGTATTCCACACCAATTGTATCAATTGTCTACCGTTGTAACTCAATCCTTAATATACCTATGGTTGGCAGAAAAATGGTGACCCAAGGATGTCCATATTCTAATTCTTGGAATCTGTAATATGTTATATTACATAGCAAAGGAGAATTAAGGCTGCAGATAGAATTAAGTTGCTAATCAGGTGACCTGAAAATAGGGAGATTATCCTAGATTATCAGGGTGGGTTTGATGTTATCACAAGGGTTCTTTAAAGTGAAAGTCGGAGGCAGAAGATGAATCACTGTCAGGGTGATTTGATATGAGAAAAACTTGACCAGACATTGCTGGCTTTGAAGGTAGAGGGGACCACGAGTCAAGGAATGTGGGTGACCTCTAGAAACTGGAAAAGGCTAGAATATGGATTATCCTCTAGAGCCTCCAGGAGGGAACTCAGCCCTGCTGACACCCTGATTTTAGCCCAGTGAGACCCATGTTGGATTTCTGAACTGCAGACCCATGAGAAAATAATAGTGCTGTTTCAAGCCACTAAATTTGTGGAACTTTGTTACAGCAGCAATAGGAACCTAATACAGTATACTTTATTGATAGTCCTCCATTCCGTGCCTCACTATTCAGATAAACTAACTGTACCCACATCCTTGTCTCAGGTCTGCTTTCAGGAAATCTAAACTAAGATACTCCCCCTCCTCAACGAATTCTACTAAAATGACCAAGGATATGTAAAAATAGGATGTAATCTGTATAATGATTGGGAAATAGGATAGATATTATTAGTAACAGGCCAAAAAGGCATTGTGCAAATTGGCTCAGATTGAGGGAAGTATAAATACCATAAATACCACACATTCCAACAAAATTGACTAGCAAGTAAAAGAAGTAAGCAATTACTATTACTGTTACTCCACAGAACCAGGAAAATCTCCTCCTCTGAGAAGGAGAGGATATAAAAAAGGGGCTTCCAGGATAAAGTAGGTGTGATGAAAGTCAAAGTACACAAGGATTCGTTCGAAAATTCTTCAGAAAGATCAGCGAAATGTAGCATTCATTCTCAGCTTTCTCTTGGTGCAAACAAAAGAAAGTAAAAATGCTATTATATGTATTTTTTATGTATTCTTATATGGATGAATCTCTCAGAAGGAGAAGGTTGGGCTCCTACAACCTACCCACAAAAATTAAAACAAAATAATTCAGAGAAGAAACAGTTCCTTTTGTTTTAGGTTGACTTCTTACTAATGGTATTAGTCAGGGTTCTCCAGAGAAACAGAAGCAACAGGATATGTATGTATGTAAGTATATGTGTGTATATATTCATACACACACACACACACACACACACACACACATATATATATATATATAGAGAGAGAGAGAGAGAGAGAGAGAGAGAGAGAAATTTTATGGAATTGAGTCACATGATTGTGGAGACCTGGTAAGTCCAAAATCTTCTGGGTAGGCCAGCAGGCTGGAGACCCAGGAAAGAGTTGCAGTTTGAGTCCAAAGGCCATCAGCTGGCAGAATTCCCTCTTGCTTAGGGGAAGTCAGTCTTCCGTTCCATTAAGGCTTTAACTGATTGGAAAAATCAGTTGGGCTAGTTGGGCTTTAACTAAGGCCCACCCATATTATGGAAGGCAGCCTACTTTACTCAAAATCCATCAATTTAAATGTTAATCTCATCCCAAAACACCTTTACAGAAACATCCAGAATAATGTTTGACCAAATATCTGGACACCATGGCCCAGCCAAGCTGGCACATAAAATTAACCATCACAGCAGTTCCCAAGCTGCTTCCTGCGAAGGAAGTTCTTCTTCCAGGGAAAATGGAGTCTGTCCTGACAAAAGACAACCACGTTCCCAGCGTGAATAAGCTAAACTGTGGAGGAGGCTACTTGAAACCAATCTAAATCCTACAAAGGCTGTTTGAGCTGAATCCATCAGGACTCACACATGCAGCCACTGAAAGGTAACTATTTGGGAAATCAGTTAACTTTCCTGTCATGAGGCTTTTCTCTCCAAAGCTCACTCACCACTCCATGTAGACAATTTAATTCAACCTGTAACAAAATATAGCTACAGCAAATAGAAGTACTTTCATGTTCCCACTTTCTGGGACTAGAAGATTTGGATTCTGACACAGAATCCATCTGAAATCTCAGTACTCAAAGAACTTGCAGTTCCTTGGTAAAGCTCAGGCTATAAAGAAAAACCACTAGACATTTTTTTTTTTTTTTTTGGCGGTACGCGGGCCTCTCACTGTTGTGGCCTCTCCCGTTGCGGAGCACAGGCTCCGGACGCGCAGGCTCAGCGGCCATGGCTCACGGGCCTAGCCCGCGGCATGTGGGATCTTCCCGGACCGGGGCACGAACCCGTGTCCCCTGCATCGGCAGGCGGACTCTCAACCGCTGCGCCACAGGGAAGCCCCCAAACCACTAGACTTTTGAAAAATACTCTGAGCAAAATAAAAGAGCCACTTGGGGATTCAGAATAAATGTATCCATGTGAAACTGTCTTATACAAAGAAAAGTTAAGTTTAAAAAAAAGTTTAATTTGCATCCTCAGTAAGACTTGTTGGAATTCTGTGCTCATGGAAAGAACATAATATAACATTAAGAAAGACTGCATTCAGATAAAAACTAGGATTACTACATTTAAACATGTAATAGAGGCAGTAAAGAGAAGACTGAAAAATGCAAAAGGAAAAGAATAAATGGTTTTCAGAACAATTAAGAAAAGGATGAAGAGATGAAGAAATAAAGCTTATGACTAAAATGAATAAAAATATAACGATATGTTTTCTCTTATATTTACCCCAAAATCGGATGATGCAAATTAAATGCAGTAGAAATTTCAAGCAAATATTGTTTGCTGTTCCAGATCCACTCAACACCTTTTTCCACCCTGTGCTTTTTCCTAGGAGGCTGACCTTTACAGATGGCTTCCAGGGGCTTCTCATTGGGTTGTCTAGGAGAGGCACTGGCAGGAGATGGCAATGTGGGAGGAGAGGAAGGCCCAGATATCCATCCCTCCAGCTGGCCATTAGTTAGCAGTGGCCTCTCCTAGAGACACTGACCCAGCTGTGCTCCACAGCTCTTTCTAAGTCCTGGAAACCACTCCTTCCCTCTACCTTTTCAGCCCCAGGGGTGATAATGAATCCCCAGCTGTTTTACTCTAAGTGCTTCACCATCCTTTTGGTTTTCTTTAACCCTTTCTATACCTTTGTAACTCATTAAACTCTGCTCAGTTACTTTATTTGAGAATCCCATCATTTTTACGCTACTGGGATCCTGACTGATATAAGCACTAATTAAAAAAAAAATAGCAAGAATAGAGGAAAAACTTGAGGCTTTAGACCAGAGTGGCCCATCTAGTTGGAGAAGATAATGAAAGAGATTCTTGTTCTGAAATGAAAAAAAAAATTCCCTAGGATAGAGGAAAGGGCAGAAAAATAAGTTGATAAAGTAATTTAAAAAACTCAGGCTGGGGCTTCCCTGGTGGCGCAGTGGTTGAGAGTCCGCCTGCCGATGCAGGGGACGCGGGTTCATGCCCCCGTCCGGGAAGATCCCACATGCCGCGGAGCGGCTGGGCTCGTGAGCCATGGCCGCTGAGCCTGCGCGTCCGGAGCCTGTGCTCCGCAACGGGAGAGGCCACAACAGTGAGGGGCCCGCGTACCAAAAAAAAAAAAAAAAAAAGTCAGGCTGGTATCAGATCTTTCTTCTGTAATACTAATTTTCAGAAGACACTGAAGCAGCATCAAAAAAATTTTGAGAGCCTACCTAAGCTACAGTTCATGGAACAGAAAGTCATTTACGAACATGCAAGAACTTAGAAAGTGTACCATCCACAAATAGCTCTGAGCAATGTTTTCAGAAAAAAGATAAAGTCCAACAAACCAAAAAGCAAATCACAATATATAATTCCAATTGAGGGAAATGTGATTTAAAAGCAATTGTAGTTACTACTGAGATCAGTAATATTTATGTTCAATGTTGAAATAATCGTTAACATGGTTGTGAAATGTAACAAATGTCAACCAATTTTGGAAAGACAAGATATACAATTATAAAATAAATTAACCTAGTTCTAATATCACAGATTATTCCAACAAAAATGGCAAAGGAAGGGGTAAAACTAAAATGTACTAGTATTTCTTTATTTTTTTCTGTTTAAATGAAAAAAAATTGAGTCCATTATTTTTTAGTTGTTTCAAAGGAAAAGTATATTTTAACATGTAATTACAAAAAAAGTTAAATAAAACTTCTAAATCACTAATGATAAGAACGACCAAGTTATAGTAAAAAAATCTGAAAGAACATGCAGTAAAATATTGACAATGCTTACTCCTGAACTGTGAGATCTTGGAGATTTTTATTTTTTGCTCATCTATATTTCTATTTTTCTATAACGCACATACATCTACTAGTGTAGAAACAAACCCTTATACAAATTTCCATATCTTACAAAATGAAATTAAACTCTAATGCTTTTAATTTCTTGAAATTTGTTTATCTCCTGTTTTTTTCTCAGAAGTATTTGACATATAGACAGTACTATATAAAAAACAGATCACCAACAAGGACCTACTGTATAGCACAGGGAACTATACTCAATACTCAATATTTTGCAGTAACCTATAAGGGAAGAGAATCTGAAGAATTATATATATATGTATATATATATGTGTGTGTGTGTGTGTCTGAATCACTGTTGTACACCTGAAACTAACATGATATTGTAAGTCAACTATACTTCAATGAAAAAAATGCAAACAAACAAAAAAGTATTTCAGGCAGTTAACAAATGGACTTAACATGTGAGTAAGACAGATAATGGGTCTGGATCAAATTGGGCAATTTTTTTTTGGACATTCCTGGGAACTTAACAGCAAGAAGGAATCCCAAGCATAAGTAAACATACTAACTAAGTAATAGAATCATTTCAAAATGTATGAAAATGTCCTAGAAATAACTAAAGTCAACAAAATGTTTTTTAATAATCAATAACCCCAAATGCTATTTAACTTCTGAGAGACCTTAGTAGTGTACATCTTTTGAGTTTTCTACTCAACTCTCCCTTTTCTAAGAGATTCTGTCCCCTCATACACATGGTGGCAGTGGGCGTGGCCACATGCCATGTTGTTGCAGGGGTTACCTGAACCTAGCTGGGATTCTAGACATGGGTCTGAGAGATCCAGACCACCCTCTCTAGTGGCTTTACCTATTAAAAACACACTATTGGGACTGTTGGTGGCCATGTTCCTCTTGTGGATTGTGCAGCTGAGGGAGCTGGTTTTCAGAGATAGAAAAGAACGAAGAGAGGCAGAGCAGAGGTGAAGATAATTGATGATACACTAGCTTCTTGCTCCAGTTTTCGCCTGCACTCCAGCCATGTTCTTGTCCTTGGGATCTCAGAGCCACCTCAGTATCCTGAGGTAGTATCCTGCAGTAGTTCAGATCATGAGCTGTGACATTAGATTGCCTGGATTTGAATCTTCGTTACTAGCTATTGGGACCATTTGCAAGTTCCACTATCACTTTAAGCCTTGGTTTCTTCATCTCTAAAAGGGAGATATTAGGCCCTATTTTATAGGATCATGGTGTTATATGAATTAATACATTTTAAATGTTTGATATAAAATAAGTGCTGAATATTAACGGCTATATTAATAAATTATATTAATAAATTATACAATATTATATAATATTATGATAACTATTAATTAACTATTTATATCCTTATAATAAATTTATTTTTCTGCTTAAATATTTACTATCAAAGGCCCATCCAGATCTGCAATTCCTTTTGGGAAGAATGATTTCAAAACTTTGGGCTGGTGATGGTGGGGAGGTGGAAGAAGAAGCATAGTAAATAGTTAAGAGTATGAGCTTCTTGGTCAGTGAGCACAGTATTTAGGTCCTATTTTTGCCTTTTACTAGTCATGGGACCTTAGGAAAATTACTGAGCATTAAATTCCTTATTCGTAAAATTTGTGTAATACATCTGGCTCATAGAGAAGTTGTAAAAATTTTTCAATGAGACTATATGCCAGGTATCTGGCACATAGGAATACCAAATAAATATTTTATTATTTTAGTTATTATTACTAACTCCACATGCAGGTGACCAGCACATCAAGTGGCTAAGTTAAAATCAGAGAGATAAGGGGTATACAAAGACTCATACTGTCAACTAAAAAATAATGCAGGAGGCTGCAAATAAGAAAACAGTTTATTTGGGGTTTTAAGAATTGCAATTCAGGGCTTCCCTGGTGGTGCAGTGGTTGAGAGTCCACGTACCGATGCAGGGGACATGGGTTCATGCCCCGGTCCGGGAAGATCCCACATGCCGCGGAGCGGCTGGGCCCGTGAGCCATGGCCGCTAAGCGTGCACGTCCGGAGCCTGTGCTCCGCAACGGGAGAGGCCACAACAGTGAGGGGCCCGCGTACTGCAAAAAAAAAAGAATTGAAATTCAGAAGACACAGATTCGGGTAACCTGGAAAGAGCGTTCCAAGGATGTGTTCTAAATGGCTCCATTTCAGAGAGCTCTCTTAGCCATACCATACCAACTCCATTTTGATTTTCCTTTCATAACACCTTGTCAAGAGACGTGATTAATCAACATGCACCTTTTCCCTAATTCAGAATGTCCCAGCCACAGTTTGCTCTTCTTACAAATGTATTACTTTAATTTCCTGAAATCTTAGATTGTTACTGGGTATAGTAATAAGATTTCTGCTTCAGTGATATCTTAAATCCAGTAGGGACTACTGAAGTTAATTTTAGCCAATTGACAAGTGTTATATATTTAAAGTGAGGACCTAAGATCCACAAAGCAAATTAAAAACCTAGAAACCTTACTATCTTCTTGTTTAAAGTCCTTATATTTTATAAGAAAGGAGTTGAAGAGTTGCGTAAATATTTAAAAATAAACGTTATGAAGCTTTACTTTGTTTTTCTGCTAGCAGACTTTTCCAGGCCCCTACTGAAACTTTACCTTAATAGGTGCCCCAATAAATATTTGCAGAATGAATGAATGAACATATTATTATCAGAGCAAACCAAATCAATAAACATGAGGTCAGTGAAGAAATATCTTCAATCACTGATTCACACCTTGCTTGCATCACAGAATCACTTGGGAAGGCTTTTCAAAACATACATTTCCAGGCTCCACAGACACCTTAGTTGAACCAGTGCTTTTGGGTGGTGCAACCCAACAGGGAACCTGTATTTTCAAAAACCTCTTCAAGTGATTCTAAGAGGCACCTAAGTTTAGGAATATAAGCAATTCCTTGGCTGAAAGTCCTCAGAAGTGAAGTTACTCACTTGAGTTTAAGCGCACTCTGGAACCTGCACATTTTGTTCTACCCTGATTCTATCTTTGAGGCTATGTGTTCTGACTGGGGCCCTCTTGAAGGAGTCAGAATGGCCCAAAGAAGCACAGAGGTCTACAGGAAGAGCATCTTGTTGAGCACTCATGCAGCATAAAATTGGAAAGCTGGCATTGTTACAAGGTTTCATATGGCCCCAATTCTATACCCTTCCCTGTGTTCCCGGCGAATTTAAGGTTCTTTCTTCATCGCGAAAGAATTTGGAGACAAGCAGAGAGTTTAAGAAAGTAAAGTGAGAGTTTATTTAAGCAAGGATACGCTCTCAGAGGGAGAGCGGGCAGACAGGTGAGGGGCTGCTGCCCTGAGTTTTTTTTGGCAAGCCGGTTATGAGAGGCATACAAATGAAGGGGTGAAATATTCACTGGGGAAGGAGGATTTTGGGGGTCGTATTCCCTGATTTTCAACCCAGCTCCATTTTCCCAAGAGGAGGAGGGATTTTTGTCCTTATTAAGCTTAGATCAGAAGTGTCATGGTGTCGGTGCACGATGGGTACTTCTTATCTGCAAGACTAATTTTATTGTAATGAGAGCATAATGAGCAACAGGTTACATTGGGACACAGGAGATTCCCGCCTTTCCCCACCTTTCTTTGTCTGCTACCCAGACACTTATCACCTAAAATGTGTGGTTTCCTGTCAGTCTGGAGGTTCCTGCTTTCCTTTGTCTGCCTATGGACCTCCGCTGTTTACAAGGTGTGTGGTTTCCTGCCACCTGGCCCCTGCCCCCATTTCTCTGCTCATACCTAGCTACCTGCCTGCTGTAACAGCTGTATCTATGCTCTTTGTCCTTATCTTTGAAACACCCTCCCACTCTATGTAGGGTGTTTGCCCTACTCCTTGGCCCTGGGATCAGCCACGTGACTTGCTCTGGTCATTCAGATTTTAGAAATATGAAACAGGCCAGGGCACGGAAAAGTGCTCCATGTGTCT